AACGCCTTTCAGTTATTATACAAGACAATGAATGAGCGAGCGAACAGAGAAAGTTTTAACTTTATTCACGTGCTCGTCGAAGCTGCGCTAATTTACGCGCGTTTGCCGTAAAATTTACATGTCGATTTGCTAATTCGTTTCGTTCGACGAGAATCAACATAATTTCTACGCGTACCGAAAAAAAAGTAACTGCGTACTATTTTCATTTCGTGAGTATGTAACGGGCATAGTTGCTTTCAGCAACAATTAGCGAGGCGTCAAAAGGACATCTGACGGGTATTCGCGGGATAACGGAACCGGGGAAACCGAGCTATCTTGAAGTTCATGACACGCCTGCGAATCTGTCCAGCATATGTCCAGACGTTATGAAATTCTAGCGGAATCTTGAAGAGACGTCAAATTTTACTTGAAAGTAAATGTTTATGAAAATCATAAATATATTCCTTGTAAGAGAAATATAAATACACGTGAGGATATTTTTTAAAATAATCGCTTGATAATGTTGAGATTATTTTTCAAAGATAACAAAATATATTAAATGCAATACTTTATATGTGTGCAATCTATCGAGATAATTGTGCAAAAAATTGTTAAACATTTATTACGCGCAATTATTCCTCGAAGCGGAAAGTTTACATCGGTTTTACAAGAAAGCACGAAAGTAAGAGTATGTAAGAAGTTCGTGTCCTCGAGACACGCCGCGGATGCAACCGAGTTCGAAGCAACGTACGGTTGCGGTCCAGGTGGAATCTGGTATCTATAGTCATCCGACGAATGCCTGAAGAAAGATCATTAAAATCCTCCTGCGTGTATATACTCCGCGCGGTTTGCGCCCCGTCGCGTATCCATTACACCTCCCGCTTTTGCGAAGACCCTTCAGAAAGCTAACGTAGATTCGCGAATAACGAAAATAGAAGGCAAGGAGAATAATATCCCTAGAATCTTGTCAGCGACACGCGTGCGAAAACTACGCGGGATTTACTGCGCGAGTATTTCTTCGGAGTGCGTTATGTATACATAAATAGCATAAATAATAACGTATGCGCCGCTCGTTTATTCAACGAACCGAATCTGATAAGCAGAAATATCCCGAGAAAGAATCCGACGAAATCTGGCAAAAATAAGGAACAAGGGCAACTTTATGATTCTTTTATTCTCACCACGGCGATGTCTATAGCATCGGAATATACACAATCGCCGGATCGACCCACGTAATCCACCGGTCCTGGCCTGAGATTGTTAAAAATGCGTGAGGTATCCGATTAATTCGAGACGATCTCACGAAAGAACAAGACTGGAATCGAGGAAGCTGCCGAATACGGCAACACCGGTAGGCAATTTTTTAACAGACGGAACGGGACGAAAAACGAGAGGCGAAACGTGCGAGAATCGCGGGAATAAAGCGAAGTGCGAGGATCGCAGGCTAAGTGCCCTTATTACAAGCCCTCGTGTTTCTTCCATCGTCGATTCACGCGCACCAAAAATCCACACATTTTCTCGTCCGCGCGCCGCCATAATCCCTTGAGCCAGTCGCGGCCCGAGCTCTTAAAAAAAAAAAAAAAGAGAGGGAGAGTAAAAAAAAGGAAAGGACGAGCTATCCAGCAAATTCGAAACGATCTCACGACACGGAAAAGACATGGAAGAGACGAGGAGGATGAGCACGGCAGCAACAGCAGCATATCAGGCAGCACAGGTGGAATCTGGTATCGGGCTCTCAGAGAACCTCGACTCGGGACAGTCGGAGGGATGGAGAAGCGAGGAGGAAGAGGATGTTGCGAGAAGAGGTCGCGCGAGGGGAGGGAACCGCACCTAAACACCCTTGCGTGTACGCTCGCTCGCTCTCGCGTTTTCCTCATCCACCGGGAGAATGTGTGTACGTTTCATCTCGTCTTTGCTCCCTCGCGAGAGAGACCCCGCGAGACTCTCGCGTCCCTCCCGTTTCTCTTGCGCCTCTGTAATAATGTGCTCACATATTGGAGTACCTGGAGAGAAGCGCCGAGGGGGGGCGGCGGATGGGCGAGAGTAGCATAGGGAACGGCGCTGAGTGCGAGACGTGACGGGGAGGGGGAATGCGATGGACCCCGAGGTGGACCGTACCCCGTGTACGTACGAGCTGGATTCGCGAATGTGTGCGTGAAACGTGCCTACATGCCCACGGCGGTAATAAGAGAAAATAAGTAAAACCCTAAGGTATGAACCGGAGGGGGCATAGGGCGGGTTGGCGGCGGTGCGCGGCGCAGTGAGGTGGAGCGGGAGGGACAGAGAAGGAGGAGGGATGGAGAGAGGCGGAGAAGGAGGTGAACCTGTTCCCGAGGGAGTTCCTTGACCCTCGGGGGGGCACACTCTCTTGTGAGCTTTCGAGAGACGCGAGAAGCCAACGGAGTAGCCACCATAATGCCCGCCGGCTAACTCCGGGGCTCCGGAGTGAGCAAGTCCTCCGAGACGAAGAGGCGAAAGAGAGAAAGGAGGATGGAAAGCATGGGCGAGAGAAACGACATGACTAGTGGGCAAGGAGAGAACGAAGAACAGCGGAATAGGCCAGAACGAGCTGACGAGAGATAAAGAAGGACGAACGAACGAAGAGACTGCGATGAACGGGAGCGGAAAAGAGAAGGAAGAGGAGGTGAGCGTGGACCAAGCAGCATCCCACTACCGTCCATCCGCCCATGTGGACCACAGTATACCATACTGCTACGCTACCACACCGGGTTCGTCGTCAGATCTGAGACTGCCGCCGCCGAACAGAAAGAGAGAATAGATATAGTCGCGCTGCACGTTGCGCTATGGCCGTCCCTTACAGACTCTTTCAGCCGAGATGAGCCTCGCCACTGTTGTAATGACTTCGCGAATCGAGAACTGACGCGAGTGTCGTAAAATTTCATTTCGAAGATTAGAGCCCTCGTACAATGTGTCGCTCGTCTTCTGCCTCTCGAGTATTCCTATTAAGTGCCGCGCTCCTCCTTATCGCGTCACAAAATTGCTGCGCGCTAATAATATTTAACTGTTTGAAAAAAAATTCTTGTAAGCTAAAACGATCCAATTTATTTTAATAATGAAAGAGACAATCCTGCACCGATTTACAGATACGGAAAATGGCTTGCAGATATTACATGGAAATGAATTGTATAGATTACGGAAGTAAAAAAAAAAAACTCGTCTTACACGTCATAATGATAAACAATGTTTTCAAAAAGTTTTAAAATTTTCTCCAGCTTCCTGATAATTGACAATTTTGATAAATGCCAGCGTTCACATGTACGGATAATGCCAAATTTCCAGGAAAGGCTAATCCGCGCGCGTTTATAATTTTCCGATTACCAGACGCCGCATCACGTAAGTGACATGCATCGTTATTATATAGTTCCTGAAAGAAGATCAGAGCGAAGTGGTTTCTCATTGCAGCGATAATTTATAGCCATTTAACTCGGCTCGGCTTCTCTGTTCGCACGATACTCCCGACACGCGAATTACGTGGAACGGTATATACTATATGTATATGGGGCAGAAATTCAATGACGAGATCCAACGACGCGACGACGATGGCATCTCTGTTTCTCGCGAGAAGCGTAGCCCGCTAGCCACATAATGACGGTGGACACGCGACAGGACTTATCCATTATTCATCGTCCGAAATCATTCTTCGTGAATACATGTAATTTCGTCCTACCAGCCGGAGGAGCCTTACCGGGAACTCACCTCTCGTTTCGATACATACAATCGAGCCCCCAATACGATTATTAGCGACATTTAAACGGTTTTTTGTCCCCGTGAGAGAAGGTGGCCAATTTAAAAAGAGTAACCAGATACTTTATGAATTCTCAAGACACATCTTTGACAATCCGATCTTTCTTACGGTTCTTTCTTAAATTAGGACACGAAATGTCGCGGCGAGAGATCAAACGTTAATTCTTCTACGCTACAAAAGAATAATTTTTGTATCATAATACAGATTTTTCACTGCAAGTTTTGCTTGAAAAAATTTCCCATCAATAATTATTATTTGAATTTTTGTTTTAGGTTTCTCAGAGTTGTGTCTTATTTACGATTTATAAAAAAAAAACAAGCTAATGAAGCTCAGGTAGCATAAACATATTTTATCTATGTTTAAAATTTAGCTGTCTCATAAAATTTTCGACTCGCGTATTATTTTTGCTAATCGAAACCGGCAGCTCTTATCGACGAGACCTGTTCGCCGTAGCGTCAATGAAATTCATATCACCCCGGCGTTTTAGCGACGGTACATTCGGCGGCAGGACGATACCCTCGACTGCAACTTTTTGCGAGCAGCACCGCAAAATTCATATCTCGAGCGGCGGCTGAGGGAGGCCTAAGCCACGCGTTCTCGCCTCTCGATATCGCGAGAAGAGGTGAGAATAGACAACCACGCGCGGCGGCGTTACCGGCTTCGCTGCTCCGTGATGAAACCGATTGTAAACCGTATATACGCGCACTCGCTCGTGTTCAGCCGGGCCCAGCATCCCGGCACGAGAGGCACAAGTGTACGTCGTCATGTAATGCCTCATAGAAAGGCAAGAGAGAGCAAAGAGCCCTCGAGATGTTCGCGACACGCACACAATCGCGTGCGCGCGAGCGAACTCCGATGCACACGCACGTGCGCAATGCTAGGTGGACGTGCGCGAGGATGAGAAAGAAATGAAGAGTCCACTGGGAGAAAGAGAGAAAACGGCAAATGTGTGTAAAGTGGCAATGTGATGCGGGAGGAGAGAGAGAGAGAGAGAGAGAGAGAGAGAGAGAGAGAGAGAGAGAGAAAAAAAAAGAAAGAAAGAAAGAAAGAAGAAAGAGAGAGAGAGAGGATCCCGTGAGGAGATGTGAGGCTCGCAGCGAAACGGTGCGCGCAGGATGAACGTAAAGGGGTTCTCCGTGCTCCCGGAGGTGGAATAGCTGGGGAAGGGAGCACTACAGAGGGGGGGCGATAGATAGGGGGGAGGCCCGCAGGCCGGCCTGCGGCTCTGGCTCAGTATCCCCGGAGCGACCGAGTCGTGTGTCCCGTGGAGGTTGCTGTGTTTTCGTGCTCCAGCGTGCCCGCACGGCACACAGTGTTATACACGACGCGCGCGCGCACATATTCACACATACACGACGTGCAACTAACCAGCGTGCGTGCATGCATCGCATACACACACGACGAAGGCGTGTTGTATAGGCATACGTTCGCCGAACACGTGCACACACCTGTTCGCCGCACGTTCCCGCAGCGACCCAAACGCGGAACAGCGTACAGCTCTCGCGGTCTCGAGGAAAACGCGTGCACGGATGCACGAGCGATGTCAACAGTTCCATTCTTATGACACAGTGTTCGAATATTCTCTCCACGAGGATCTCGCGAGAGTCGTTTCTGCGGAAAGGACTTTCAGAATTGTTGCACATGTGAGTGAATCGGGATGCGCGACGACAAGCGAGTTTAATCTCCATCGTTGCTATACGTGAGATACGAGTGGACGTGCGTTTCATGGAGTTATTCGACGGTCCTTGAATTGTCACTGTTTTTCCACAACACAGCCATGGATTAGAAAATCAAAACCAGTGAAAATCAGTGTTGGACGCTATCGTGACTGTGTATCGCGAATGAACATCGGTAAGAGCACCTCGATATTCATGACCGATATTTATGAACTATCGAATCATTTGTACGCGTGGAACACGTGCTGGATATCGCGGCTCGTGCGTGAGTCGAGAGAAGCAGGTGTTGAGTCCCGGGAACGCGCGCGATCATCACACGTTGGCCTTTCGCGCGCGCGGGATCGCTTTCTCTGCCCGATGAATTCGGAACTCGCCGACGGCGAGTCGATCTTTCTCCGTCAGGTGAACTCGTGAAGAGGAGAAGCGATTCTCGCGTAATCGCTCGCGATTAGTCCCGCACGAAGACCGACACTGACGAATGCCGCGCGAGTGAATTGCGAGGCAGGGAAAAACGCTCGGGAGAAGAAAAGGAGGATCATATCGCACGGCAATATCGCACGATTGTGGTGTAGTCGCTCAAGCACTCAAGCGAAAGGTACCTGTCGCGTCGCAGGATCGCATACGCGAGCCTCACCTGTAGTCCTCCTCGAGCGTCGCTTTGTCGCGGGCGAAGCCGACCTTTATTTGTTCGTTTCAATTTTTTTCTATCTGGAAAAAAGTCGGAATTTTTGTGGACGACGGAGAGGAACGGTAACGCGCGCGAATCCTTCACATTCCGAAGTGTTCACGAAGTGTTCAGTGTTCGGCAAAAAGGATCGTCTTTCCCCCCACCCTTTGTTCTACACGCCAGTGGATATTTTCGGTGTTGGTGCGCGGACCGGAGAAATCTGCGGTGTGCAGTGTGCAATCGATAATAGCGATCGATAATATTCGGTGAGAGTGGTGAGAGAAGGAAAGAGAGAAAGAGAGAGAGAGAAAGAGAGAGAGAGAGAAAGAGAGATCAAAGGATACGCACAAACGCCGCCGGCATCGAAAGGGGTTGTTTGAGAAGCAGCCGAGCAGTAGCGCGGGGATATCGGTGATATGCGGTAGTCGAGGGGATTCCCCAGGGAGAGACATGAGGGCAGTCGCCGCCTACCTGGTCCTTGTCCACCTTATACAGGTATATATATCACTTTGTTCCACCTTCTCTGTGTTTTACTAGAGCTTACCAGGATACTTTCTCGCATATTCTCCTTGCATTTTATACGCGCGCAAAGACTCGTTTAAAATGTCAAATGATGATCGCGCAGTCGCTTCAGGTTGTAACCTGTGCAGGTATAAAAGATCTTCTCAGAAATGGACGAATAGATTGATATGCCCATTGCTGAATTTTATGTAGGATTGAATTAAGAAATTAACAATATATCATGCTTCTAAAATAAAACTGGCACGATTAAAGAAAAAACGCGATGAGTTAATTTTAATTTTGAAAATTTGTCACTCTATTGAAGTCGATGCGGAAATTTGTGTGAAATGTGACAATGAATATAAAATTACAAATTTTTAATTGTCATCGATGATGAGAAAAAATATAAAGAAGTATAGCACAAAAACTTCTAGGTAGGTATTAAAAAAAACCGGGACGTTACTTTATAAATAATGTTAAATTAAGTAGAACCTCTAATTGCTACATTTAATCCATTAATGTAAAGTCCGCAGCTATATCTTTCACCGCAGACATCCAAGTCGGTGTTTGTGGATCGTAAAAAGCACAGCGTGTGAGAAGATCGCGGAACTATTTATACTCACGATCAGCGCATAAACGCGCACTTTTTAGATTTCGCGAATGGCCGTTTCCACGATCGTTAAGACAGGATTAAATTGCATTAACATTGTACAAGCACCAGCAATAAAGTATGCTCTAAATTTGAGTCGAGTGAAGTATGTTCCATTCTTTCGCTCTGCTTTCGACAACAAGTGAGATCAGGAAAAGTCAACGGTGGCGGCACAACGGGTATTCGAACAGGTGATGCAAGCATACAGAGCAGCGTGCATATATACCCCGAGGCATGTACCATTCGCAAAAATAAACAGTTGCGACAGGCGCGGCCATTACGATACATTTGTGCGCGATTGAACTCAAGTTTTTTTTACTATGTATCTACCAATTAAGTATTTTTTTACAATTTATACAAAAACATAATTTATTGTTAGATCAATAAATCTTTATTACATCCGTGGATAAATTTAATAGTGCAGTGAAACAGAATAAGAATGAATTATTGTAAAAATAACAATTTCCACGAATTGTTTATTACTGAAAAATTTCCCGAGATAAAGCTTCGCGTATCATCATACACATATCTCGTGTAGTACATATCCGCGAAACATGAAAGATCATGCGATTACATCCGGCTGAAACAAACGTCGAACGGGAGGGGTCTCACAGTATCAATGACTTTAATATTTGTACACTTGTATGTATTTTGCCTATTAAATGTAATGGGAAGCACCTGTGCTCGATCCGCAAGTACCGTCTCGTATCGCAATGATTTAAACAAGATCTGTTAGTACTCCACCGTCGTGTATCGGAAGTTAATTTGCAAGACAGTGCAACGAGATTTCCATACTAGCCTCCATTATAGATCATTGCGATCTCAGTGTGTAGCAATGGGCTCCTTTCGAATGCTCGCAGTTTACCGCTTGTTGCATCATCGCAAGGTGCTATCGTGCGTGATGCAGCATCTGCGACGCGAGGCCGTTCTCACGTACGTGTTTTGATCGCGCAGTCTTCCGTCTTTGAAAACGATCAATAAAATAAAGCTAGAAATAACATACAGAAATATTAAAATGTAAATATTATTATTATTTATATTCAAATTTAAGTTTTACGTTTGCGAATAATGGATAACAGTTAATCTAACTAATAAATCACTTTTGATTGACATAATTGAAATTTATGTTTAGTTAATAATATATATTATTATTATATATGTATATCGGTTTAATGGTAAACTTTTTTAATATTGAAAATAGCAGAATATTTTATAAATCTCTTTACAATTTAAATCAAATACTTAATAATCTATAAATTTCTCAAGAGAGCAATAAAACATTCTGATTTTTATCGCAGATTTTTTTTCTTGTTTTTACATATGTTATTGCTAAAGCTATTCTTACGCATGCTGCTTACATACATTAAAAAGCCGACTTTTGCATAATATGTTAAGTTTATAACAGGATTTTATTGATATCAGAATTACTCGTCGTTATATTATGTATCTTAATACTTGAATATATCGAAGACAAGTTAATTGATTAGAAAAATCTTTATAAGCATTAGAATCGAATTGGTCTCAATCTCAAAGTGCAGAAAACGATTATATATTAATCACTTGCATTAAAGCAAATCAGTAGCAAACTGCTGTAAAGTGGAACGATTAGATAAGTAGAGGCGAAAGAGGCGGTGATTCATTCGATGCAGTTTATTAAGTTATCTCTGTGCCCTTAGATATTGACACTATAGAAAATTCCCTTGTGTCACTTTCTTCCGCGACGTTTGCTCTCTAAACGAAGCTAGATTTGTTCTTCATCAAAATTACAGCTGTCCACAAAAGCGACACATGATGTACATATTATGTGTTTTTTTATATACAGTTATTTGTACAGATAAATATGTTTTTAATTTTTGACATAAAATAACACTAAATATATAAACTACCATCAAATTATTATACAAAAAAATTAGCTTTCAATTTTCAAGTGCAATTGGTTTCATCGTAGCAAAACTTTTATTCCATTTCGACGCTTATCAATTCGTGATTGATCTTCGCTTTTAATTGGCGAATCTAATTAACATCTAACGACAATACTTTATGTTGCCCTCGCATCACGTTTTTATGCACCAACGTATGTAACATGTCGCTGGACGACTACTGTCTTGTAACACTGTTCTCCCGCGAGTTGCACAAGGATAGGCGGGCGGTGCTACATCCTTCTCCTTGTTCTCAGCGAGGGGAGATCCATACTTACAGCGTAAATATGGCTTTTTTGCGGATGTTGCTCCGTCACTCGCACTTGGTAATTTTCTTACTGTGTCTCTCTTGTATTATACACTCTCTCGGTTAGCTTCGTTTAGAAATGACACACGAAATTGTTGTTATTACGACGAACCAAAATTTCTCCATAGTCGACGCTATAAATATCCTGTGATATTATTTTTCTCTTAATTCAACAATCATTATAAATTAATTTTGTACTTAACATTGAACTTGAACTTATAATCATTTAATTTATATTTTGCCCACAGATTGCTTATTGCATTGCACCAAGAGTGCGCGTTAATATTGTAATTAATGTCAGACTACATGCGGGTGCTCCTTTTCGCATGAATTATAATATAATTGTTCAGTCAATCATCACGCCGGAAGCGCGCCGATATACACAGAATTTTATTCTATTGTTAGTTGTAGACATGTCAGTGAACTCGCGGTCGTATTAATTCATTAAAAACTATTAAATTTTCGGAGCTGTTTATGAACTTGAGATAGCGGCGGACCAACCAAGAAACATTCTGAAAGAAATTACACTTGTACAAAATTTATATTTTTCTGAGAGACAGCGTGTGTTAAAATAAAAATGACTGTAACTCGTTTCATAGCTATCCCGTCGTTTCGCTATAATATCTCGGGAAAGAGAACCACCGCAATCATGCGAAAATGATTAAATTATAAATATCAAATGTAAATTGCCGGGTTAAAAGTATGATGCGTGTGTTCGCCAGCGAGGAGGCAAGCAAATCCACGCTTCCGTAACGATCGACAATTTCGGTCCAACCCGACGAATAATGGGAGCTTAGGAGCCGGAGCGTTGCCTCGCTCCGACCCGGAGTTACCGGAGGTCACCTCCACTCTTGGCCCTCTCTCTTATAAACGACTTTCGAAGAACGGGCCGCGCGATGGGGAAGAGGGTTCCCGCGCCGTTCCGTCGTTCCCTCGATGATTTCGACCTAGTGCAATTAAGCGCCGCCGCCGTTGCCGACGCTGATGCTGCCGCGGTTGCTGCCGCGCCGCGTTTGCTCTCTTTCAATTACAGTCCGTGCGGAATTACCGTTATAACGTGCGATGTCTGACGCCGAAAAAAGTTCCCCGAAAGCGATCCGAAGAAGCGCATCTCGCAAATTTGTACCCACGTGTGTCCTGTTCCGTGTTCTTCCGCGTACTTGGTTTTAATTTAAAGAACATCAGCGGTGCTCCCGTATATATTATACGAGTTTACATGCATACGAGAAACTGGTTGCGCTCTGCGCGCGAAAAAGAACCGAGAGAAAGAAAATGCGACAGAAGCCAAATCGTATCTACCTTTCGCACGGTCGCATTGTAATTTGCGGAGCAATTACCTCTCGCGCGATTTCTTGCACGATTCTCGCGATTTACTAGCGAGCGCAGCTGACGCTCACTTCGGCCACAGCGCGATCGATGAGTCCGCGATTTAGTTTATCCCGGAAGCAGGCGCGTGATTTTTCAAATGTACATGATAAAATGATTGTACACCCTACTTATAGTATCCTTGTTGTTGTTAACATATGGTCTACGAGAAACTATTCCTGTTTTTGTAAACACTAATGTATCTTCGGAAGGCTATTTGTATATTTTAATTAATGAATCAATCTTTCTCAATTCTTCTGAATTGAAGACCGATGGAAATATTGATGCAACAGAAACACTTGCTCGATTTTGTATTTGCATTACAATATCAGTTTCTACGATTTCTTTTTACTTCAGCTATGCGATACTTTTGTTTAATGCGAGTCGCGGTACGCAATCGCAGTTAATCGAGCGTAATCGCCCTCTTCGGCCCCATCCGATCAAAGACAATTTCACGGGAAGGCCTTTGGCCTTGTGGATCGGAAGGTGTTGATGCGGCCTGACTAACGAATACGTGTATCACTAGACTGACAGACCGACCGACTCTCTCATTACGATTTTCCGCGGCGGAGATCTCGCGACAGCGAATGATCGCGGTGCGCACTTGATGGGAAAGGAGAGAGAGACAGAAAAAGACATTAGTTTATTAAGCTTGAAATTGCATGAGGCCTCCGACAATTATCATAAACCCCCGTTATGGACGCCCGATGCTGAGATCGATCCGCACTCGTCTGCATATGTGCGGCGGGATGCG